TGGCCCATGGGCTGCAGTTTATCAGCCCTTGTCCTAAATATTCCAGAATCACTCTCTTTACTTTGAAGGTATCAATTAGCCACTCTATCTCCCATCATGATTCTGGCATAATGTTGAGTTGTTATACTCACTTTTGAATACAAAGAAGAAAAATTCAGGGACTAATAATTCCTGTCTGATTATGAAACTACATTTATTAGCCTTCTAGTTCTCCTGTGACGTTCATTTTGCAAATTGTGCATACCTCTGCTTTTTATTTATTTAATAAATAAAATAAATATTCATTTCCTTTTTTATTGGCACAGGGATTGAACTCAGGGGCACTCCACCACTGAGCCACATCCTGAGCCCTATTTTGTATTTTAATTAGAGACAGGGTCTCACTGAGTTGCTTAGCATCTCGCTTTTTGCTGAGAGGCTGGCTTTGAACTCATGATCCACCCCCTCAGCCTCCCAAGCCACTGGGATTACAGGCTTGCGCCACTGGGCCCTGCGATTATACCTCTGCTTTTAAAACAAAATGTATCCAATGTTTATATTGTTGTTTTATTTTAGTAGTTTCTGTAAAATCTCACCCTCAACTTTGGGTCCATAGCCTTCTGGCTGTCAGCCCTTAATTTGGATCCATTTCCCATATATGTTCATTTGCTGAGTAGTAAACATTCTCAGACTTTCCAGCTCACATGATAGTGTAAAAACAGCCTTCCAATTCACCATTTCTTCATGAAAATATAAGCATGCTTTTATAATGCTATGAGCAAAAAAATGGATAATTGCAAGATTGCATATGGGTGAAGCTATCACCATTGAAACAGTGAAGAGCTTTCTGTGACAGAAGTTAAATAGGATTTTTTAGAAATGTACCAAACCCAAATACAATGTAATAACCCAAACTTGAATGACAGAAGAGTCAAGAGCTACTGCAGGAATGCTTCCTCTGGTTGTGGATACTCTGTGGATGGTTACTGTTGAAGTGTGAAGTAGCCAAGTTATAATTGCTATGGGAACTGTAATGAAACTCGACCTTTGATACCTTTACATGTTCCAAGGTAACACCGCATTAACAGGCTATTGGGTTTACCTGGTACATTTACCTAAGCAGCTTTGTTTTAGGCTTTCAAGGACAATAACCTGAACTAAAGATTGTTGGAAAGGAGAAAGCAGAAAACTTGTTCCTTTCAGAATCTTATCTACTCCTAACATCAGAGTTTATTTTCATGGAATTCGCTTCTAACAGTACTTTTCAAGGTTAAGTAATAAATTCTCATATAGTGACTACTGCTCCTTTAAAGTAAATAGTGGACTCCTTATTTATCAGAAAGTCAGTTGCCTGACTATTTGTTGATTTATTCCAGCTTTGGCTAGGGCCCCCAAGCAAATGGATTTCCCGTGGCTTAAAGAAGAGAAATAGTAATGGCCCAGGGAGTAGCCATGTGTGGGAAATCACCATCATTAATTCTCTTACCTTCTCCATTACCTCAGATTAAAAAAATTAAAAAGAATGCACCAAAGTGAATAATTTTCTTCATTATTTTGTTAATGTACCTCCACAGATTAAACTGTTCTTTTTGATTAAATTATTCTTTTGGATTATGCAAACTTGATATCCTGAGTAAAAATGAACTACCAGGCACAGAAAGCCCCTACAAGCCTTTGAGGGACTCAAGGAGACTAACTTGGAAAGAAAAGGATTAACATTCATTAAACACCAGCTGTGCTGGGAACCATCAGGTATGCCTGATGCAATCTCCTTTTATCTTCAGGGGTCTTCTTGCTACAGGTGACAGTAACCAACTCTTCCCAAGTCACACAGAAACTGGAAAACACAGTATTTGAATCTACTTTTGGATTAATCTGAACTTCAGCATTCTTTAAGCAACATCTGTATATTTTCATATTTTTAGTTAAGCAAATAATATTTGTTGTATGTTTATCAAATAGCTCAAAGGAGCCATGAAATATTGCATTTGTACACGACAGCAACTAGTATGACCAAATATTTTGTAAGGGATGAGGTCTGTGATTTGAGCATTAGCTTTTATAACAATTAATAAAGCATAACATTCTGGTCAGTATATATTAAAAGGAAAGAGGAAATAGAAAGCAAGAGTCAAACAAGTGCCCTTGTTCCTTCAGTGACACTATTTTTGTACTTACATACAAATATGTTAGTTATATTCTACATTGTAATATCGAGAGATATTCTGTATGTGAGAACATAGATTCTGACATCTCTCTGAGGTAGACAGTAAAGCCTCACTAGACCTTGAATCTGCTGGCAACTTGTTCTTGAATTTCTGAGTCTCTAGGGCTGTTAAGTGTTAAATTTATGTGGCTTATAAATTTTTAAAAAGAGAGATTTCTTCTTACTTTGTTATCAATTTAATAGGTGTGTAGTGGTAACACTGCCTTTTGAAACACAGTATAGTTTCTTAATGGACAATGTAATGGAGCCAGGTAATTCTAGGTTGTAATACAAGAGAATGCTCTACTAATAGTCAATTGTGAGGGTTACCAAATTCTAAACTTCAACTTCTCAGGTTCTGAAATTCAGTATTGGCATTGCTTTGACATTGATTAGATTCAATGGAATGGATTTCTGGTAGAAAAACTCATGGTGGGGGGAAACTTATTTTTAAATTAGAATCACAGTTTGTTAAGGGCCCCTCATTCTTGTATCATTTTGATTGGGTCTTGTGGCTAGTCTGTAAAGTTGGAGCAGACCTTCAAATCCAGAATTTGATTTGGATTTCCATACTAAGGGTGCCATGGCATAAGAGGGTTAATAGCTTGTTACTCCCATGCTAAATCTTTCTCTGCAAGTGAGACAGGCCTCTCAAACTGATCTGAGATGCCATGGCAGAGCTGCGAAAGGAGTAAAGGAAAGGGATCTGGGTCTCTTTTATGGTGGTCAGAGACAAGGCTGGGGTGAAGGTTGCAGTACATGATTCAAACTTACATCTGGTAACAGAGAGAGCACCTGGCATTTTTATAAGCCTGCCCTGATATAGAGAAGAAGAGGAAGAGAAAGGGGTGAGGCTTAAAAGGTATCTGCAACAACAACAACAACAAAAAACTCAAACGCTCTATTACACTGAGTCTTCAAATTTGTAAAAAAAAAAAAAAAAAGATTATTTAGTTTACAGAGGATTGAAATGAAGTTCAGTGAACACTATTGAAATGATTCAACAAGGTATATTACAGTCCAAGTAGAATCTGTTTCACGTAATCATGTATGTTCCCCAGGCTTCCAGAATGTCAGAATTTTGTATCACTCCCTTTTAATCCCTCTTAGGGAAAAATAATAATATTATTATATTAATTTTCTAGTTCTTGACTTCTGTTCATGAGACTTTTCTTCTTCAAAATATTCTTTGACATTAGAGATGTCAGTATGTCCTCTCTCCTAGTCCTTCTTGAACTTTAGTCTGGGAATCAACACATCTTTTTTAGGTGATTTCTTCTGGTTATCCAAGACCATCCTTTTCAGATATAATTAGACTATCCGGATGGATAGTGCTCTAATGAAACTGTTCTTGCCATCATCTACAACCACTTCAAATTTTTACCAACTAAATGATGGTGAATCTTCCTTGTATTACATGTGAAGTCTCATCCTGCATATTGTAGGGCTCTGACCCTATTCTCTCATATTGTCTTTTAAAAAGATAATAATTAATATATTGTGGAATATAGGTAACAGCAGATAACCTTTCTATAAACAACTATTTGATACATGAAGAATAAAGTAGCAAGGCTGAATCAATTCAGAATGTCTGTGACCAACTGTTCTGTATTTCTGCTGAGGAGAGAACAAAAGAATATACTCAAAGAGAAACAGAAAAGATTTAGAATCCACTTGAAAAGCATCAGCAAAAAAGCAAGGAAGATCTAGAGAAAAAACTCTTCTTCAAAGATGTCTTTAAACTGTTTATTTTAAAATCTTATAAGTAAAAGACCAAAGTGATTCTGTGATTCCAACAGTCTAGGAAAGTGGTTCTTAATCTATTTAGAGACATCCAGTTATATGAGAATAAATGAAAATCCTTGGTGGAGAGAAAATTCACATGAAGCAATACTTTCATTTGACCTAAAAATATGCATTTGGCTTTTCAATACTAAATTTAGGCTGGTAGGCAGGTGAAAGTTATTCCAGAGGACAGGATTTTTTTCATAGGCTCAATACTAACTAGAGGTGGTACTTGTTACTAACTAGCTATGCTCATTTAGAGTTTCCAAGTTGTCTCTAATCTGTCTCTATATTTTATTACTCAACAAATGCTCCATCTTTTTAACTGAAATAGTAGATGCATAGTCATATTTCTAGGTAAATGTTGAGAATAAAAAGACCTCTTAAGCAAGGTTTACAAAGCTCAGATACGCAAATAACTATAACAGCCTTTGATGGAGCAGTTTCCCATTTGTCAAGCACAGTACAAAGCCCAAACTAACTTAGTCTTCCAACAATTTTAAGATATGGTTATTTGTCCCATTTCATTGTTGAATAAACTGAGTCTTAGAAAGGTTAAATAATTTGCCTTAGTATTTAGTAAGCACCTTCTGACACAACTAGAGGAAGATAATTGAAGTAAAACATGGACTCAGTAAATGTTTCCAAACTAAACTTAAAAAAAAAAAAAAACTAAATTCTTAACTGTGTAGGTTAAAATTACAAAATGCAGTTTCTGGACTTAGTTTAATTTATACTCCAAATCAATGATATGCAAAGTTGACTTTTCCCAAAACTCTGGGTGATGATTTAAGAAACGAAATATCTCATCATAAGCTCTGTTGATCAGGGCAACCAAACGAGCAGACACACCTTAGATATTTGATCTTAAAAATAAAGAAAAATATCAGATGTAATTCAATAAAACTTTTGTGAACCAAAGACTCAGCTGCCTGGTTTGTACATATAGAAAATGATCAACATAGCTTAAAGGGTGGCATTAAATGTGCAACAGTCCCCGCTTATCTTCTTTCACTTTCTGTTGTTTCAGTTACCTGTTTGCCAACTGAAGTCTGGAAAATATTAGGTGGAAAATTCCAGAAATAAATCATTTATAAGTTTTAAATTCCATGCCATTCTGAGTAGCGTGATGAACTCTTGCGCTGTCCCACCTAGGAAGCAGGTCATCCCTTCATCCAGCAAATCCACGCTGCGTACACTGCCAATCCATTTTTGAGGTGGCTTCCTCAGTTATCAGATCAACTATTACAGTGCTTTGTTCAAGCAACTCGTGTACGGTAGCCTAATGCTGTGTCACATGCTGTGTCACCTCGCTTCATCTCATCACATAGGTACTGCCTCACCTCACACCTTCATAAGAAGAAAAAGGGTGAGTACAACATATTGAGAGAAACCCCAAATTCATGTAACTTTTATTACAGTATATTATAACTGTTCCATTTTTATTATTCCTTATTACTAATCTCTTAATATGCCTAATTTTTAATTTTAACTTTATCATAGGTATATGTATGTACAAGAAAAATCATAATTTACATAGGTTTGGTATTGTCCACGGTTTCAGGCATGCACTGAGGGACTACTCTATTTCAAATAGATGTGACATTGCTGTCTCTTTATTTATAGTTGTAAACAGCTGTGACTTTCAAAGTAACAAACTTTTCAAGAGAAAAATATGCTTGAAGAATTTCTTTTTATGCTTGCTATTTTGAAATAGTTCTGTGTAAAGGCAATATATTTATATTATCTCCATTATTCTCTGCATTTAAATGGCACCCCTTTTTCTTTAATGTTTACCACTAATACCCAGAGCTTTGCCATAGATAAAAAAGGCTTCTGAGTATTAATGTTCTGAAGTATTTCTATTTTTGTAGATTTTTAAATAAAAAATGGAGGCATAAAATTTTAGATCTCTAAGAAATAATGATACAATCAACTCTACCCTTCTACCTACAAAGGTGGAGAAAGAGGGATTTTTTGGACTTTAAAGTACTTTCTGCATCACAGCCACTATTTCTTTCCTATCCCACCTGCTGACACCTTTCACCTTTCATGATGACTCAGAGGCATTTGAAGTTTGTTAATTTTCTCCCTTTTTCTTCTCTTTGACCTACGAATTCATCCATGTACTTGTCAAATGTTTATTACGAATGAGTGCCAGGCAGATGGTAGAGATACAAAGATAAAATCATATTCTTGTTCTCAAGGTGAAGTCTAAAAGAGAAGACAGATTTGGGAAATATTGTATTGTCTCTGGCAGATGCCCTGTAAGGTAAAGGCCATCAACCCAGTCTATGTGGTTGTATTGGGGCTTTTAAGGAAGCCAAAGGTAATATGCATCACCAAAGCACAGACATATGCTAGGAGAAGTGCTAAAGTTGAAAATGGAAAAGCACACAGGGACTAACTCACATAGGCCATATTAAATGCCATGATTAGGAATACAAACTTTATCTTAAATCACATTAAGAAGATATACAAATGGAAGAAACTTTAGCAGGAGACTGACATAATAACACACACATTTTAGAAAGACTCCTCTGGCCACAATGTGGAAGCAGAATGCACAGGATTCACAGAAAAGATATCTGGGAATTAGAGCACTGGGAGGTCCCAAACACCTGCAGCAAGGGTATGGAGGAGACACACACAAGAGAGTTGGTGGAGGCAGAAGAAGTTCCAGAGTTTATAGATTGATCCTGAGAAAGGAGGGAGCAAGGTGGCAATAAATCTCATGTTTCTGGCTTGAGTGATGAGGCGGGTGGCATTAATCTGGATTAGAGATTACTTCATTTTTTTAATATGTTGTGTTAGTGGTGCCACTGAGAAATCTGAGTAGAGCTATGGAAAACCCAATTAGATATGAGTTTAAGATTCAGGAAAAAAAATATAGTCTATGGATAATATGATGACTTAAGAGTTGAAAGTGACATATAGGTAGATGAAGTCCTATGTATGAAGGAGGTCATTGATAGTTACATTAAAAATGAAGATAAAGAAGGGCCTAAGGTGGTTCTCAAGGAACATATTACCTTCTTAGAGGCTAAACTAGGGGACTTCTATGCCATAAGATACCCTTGTGTGATCTAAAGAACACCTTGACTACCATTAGCCAGAAAGTCACAATATTGAAATCACAATTTATGACACCTATGATGTGAATGACACCCATGGAGCTGAACAGTACACAGCCTCCCTTAACCACATGACATGGCCAGTCAGCTGGGAAGGAGACTAAGAAGCAGCCACCGGGTAGATGAAAAGAAATCAAGAGTTCTCATAGAAATAAAGAGGCTAGAATTTCAAGGCAGAACATGTGATCAACACCACCACCTGTGACCCAGAAGTCAAGTGCATGTGGTCTGAAGGCATTTACCTATCCTGCATTTGGATGTCCTCTTTCCTGCCTCCTGAAGATGCTTTGACTGTCCTGCTTCCATCCCTTCAACCATTTGGATGCACTGGGATTTATCCTCATGTCCTTTGTCTTTGCCTTTTTCTCAAGGGATTTCTCTGCTCCTATTTTGGATCTTGATACATTTTATTTATTATTAGTATTATTTTTTGCATTCCCCTTATTGTTCACATCTACAGTCACCTCCACTTGACTCTGAGCACTCAAGTTTACAGTCTTTCTTTTAGGACTTCACAAGGCATTCTATTCAACCACAGTTTTCATAGACATGCATTCCAGATATACTTATAAACATACATTAATATCTGAATACAGATACCTCTGACAAGGGATAAAAGGGAATTTGAGGTCACACATATACACTATCATCTTAGGTATGAAAATTAGCCTAAGTTCAGAAAATCATCTCAAAGTATCTGGTCCCCTAACTTCAAAGATATTTCTGGCTAGGCTCATAACCTGTAATTCCAGCAGCTTGGGAGGCAGAGGGATCATGAGTTCAAAGCCAGCTTCAGCAGCTTAGTGAGGCCCTAAACAACTTAGGGAGTCTCTGTCTTAAAATAAAAAATAAAAAGGGCTGGGTATGTGGCTGAGTAGTTGAGCACCCCTGAATTCAATCCCCAGTACCAAAAAAAAAAGTGTTTCTGCTTTTTTAATCTACATGTAGAATGGAGCTAGATACATAAAAACGACTCAAGCAATAGACTAATCAAGAAAAGAACTTTACTTTCAACATTCTTATAGTGAGACTTGTAATAAGATGAATTCGTTTGTCATGAGTTACATGTCTATGGTATTATTCATCTTAAAATTTTCAATGCTGGTTTAGAGCTATCCCTGGGTCAAACTTGGTCCATTATTTCACTCGAATTGAACAATCCAGTTCGATAGCCACTAAACATACATGGCTATTTAAAACAAAAACTAATTAATTAAAATGAAATAAAAAGAAAAGTTTAGTTGCCCTGTCAAATGGCCACATTTCAAGTGCACAGTAGCCACACATGGCTCCGGCATTAGTCTATGCCGGTATAGAATGTTTCCACTGTCACAGAAAATTTTATTGGACCCTGTTGCTCCAAAATAGTGTTGACTGTTCCTAGAAGTTCTTGGCTCTGGATGACTTTGAGAAAATCAGTGAGTGCCTCACCAATAGTGCACAGTTCCTATTATACCACATAGAGGATCTTTGTGTTTGTTTTTTTGCTTATTTTATATGATAACTTGAGAAAATGGAAAATTAACTTTTCAGTCAGCATCAACAGTGTTCCTAGTGCTCTACTTAATTTATCTTAATTAGTCTCCATTAATCCTATATCATCATCATCAATTTACAAATGAGGACAAATTTACAAAGGAGAAGACAAATGGCAGACTCTAAACTCATATTTCTCTAGTCCACAGTCTTATTATTCAGTACTACTTTGTAAAAAATATCACCATATGGGTAAATTGTCTTTTCTCCAATTAATGTAAGTATGGTGCATGATAATTAGGATGCACTTAGCAGAAATGGCAGAACCCTCTAGATTCCTCAAATGACTGTATTCTCAAATGAATTTACTTATTTAACTAATGGACGTGTTGGTAGTTGTCACTACCAATATAAATGAATAGATGAATTTACTTGTCATTTATTTACTTGCCATCAAAAAACCAAGTCTGACAGAAGGTACATTCCAGTACATTCCAATCAAACAGTGGTCCCAAATCCATTCCAAATTTACCTTCATGAAAAATCTGAGAATTGTAAAAGAAATAATCTGTAATATTTTTCCAGAAGATTGATGTTGTTTTGGGTCAAATTTTATACATGAGGATTTGAGAATATAGTACAAGTGGTTTTGTAGTTCAATGTAAAGATGATTTCTGAAGAAAGAACTGATACTTGATGTTTAATATTCTACAGGGAAGAGAATCATCTTACAAAATTCCATTTTGCTCATGTTTTGGTCTAAAGTTGTGGTCTTTGGTTTATGTGACATTCTAGCCAGGAAAACACACACACACACACACACACACCACACACACACACACACACACAATAAAGTAACTCTCCCCATCACAGTTTAACTTTTTTCTTCATCATTTTTTTCAGGGAAAAGTGCTGCATATCTACCCTCCTTTGCAAATGATCACCTAAATGAGAGGTTTCCTAGGTTATTTGGTTCATATGGGAGAATCTCCCAGAAGTAAGGTGTGAATCTTCATTAGTGAGATGAGTCCACGTACTTTAAATTGGGCCCAAGGACATCTCAAAATCATAACATTATATTAGGTTTTCATTGTCACTGAAGCCATTTTTCCCCCACAGAATTATTTGTGAAAAACTGTGAATTTTAGTGTAGGAATAAAGGTTGTAATTGTATGGGGCCTTTGATAACCACCAGCACCTCACAAATGGCAGGGGATTCTGAATTAGAGCGAAAATATATCAGAGGTAAAATGTAGTTTTTCCATAGGTTCCAAAATGGTTAAGACCCAGCATGACTTTGTAATTAATCACTTGGCAAACAGCACAGTCACCTCACAGTGATTTACCTGAGTATAGCTGCAAATGAGAAATGTGCCTGAGTGCAGAACAGAATAAATTTGTTCTCCATAGAGATGCAAATTGTCAGCTTTTTCACAGTATTTTTCTTAAGTACCTCCAAAATGCCAGGACAAGGCAGGTCCCAGAAGGACAATGAAGACAGGGCCCTCATGGAGCAACTGACAAAATGTCCATACAAAATGAAACCATGACCAATTGCTATAAGTTTTATAAAGGAAATTAACACCAACCTGACAGGAAAATGAGGACTCCTTTGCTCTACATAGGGTGTTCTGGATGGCTTCTGTGGGGCTGTGGGATCTGAACTGACTTAAAAAGTAAGGCAGGAACTAGCTTTGAAAAGTCTTTTTAAAAATAATTAATTATTTTTTATTGTTTTTAGATATACATAACAGTAGGGTGAATTTTGACATACATAAATGGGGTACAACCCATTACATTTTTTTTTGAGACTAGGGATTGAACTTTGAGGCACTCAAGCACTGAGCCACACACATCACACACATCCCCAGCCTCCCCCACCCTTTTTAATAGTTTATTTAAAGACAGGGTCTCATTGAGTTGCTTAGTACCTCACGGCTACTGAGACTCACGATCCTCCTGTCTTAGCCTCCTGAGCCACTGGGATTTACAGGCATGCGCCACCATGCCCATCCAACCCATTACAACTTTGAGAAGTGCTTTTGACTAAGGGAGCAGTTTTGCCTAGGCCCTGAGGAGAGATTCAGTTGTACCTTCTCAACTGCTGTATGTTTTTAAAGGGTCTGTTTTTCTTGACACTTTCTGATGGTTCCTTAATTTTCATTAAATATTCACCAATACTTGCTGTTGTTTCATGGAGAAATCTGAGGTTCTCCACTGAACTCTTCAATGAAATCTACCTTTCGGAAGTATTCATTCCTTTCAGCCCCTGAAAATCACCCCATGTACCTACAATTGGGTATTGTAGTAGAGGTTTGTACATTTTACTATGTACAATAAATTTCTGTCAGTCCCCCACCAGATCTGAATTACAGATTTTCAGGGACTGTGGAATAAAATACTATTTTTTCTGCTCTCAGCAAATAACAGGTCTGGCAATTTGCAGTGCTCCAGAGGAGATACACAAACATTTGCTTTTTTTTTTTTTTTTGTCTACCTATTCTGCTGATCTGAAGGAACAAAATTTCCATTTCATAGTGTTTGTTGAGTTATTAAATAAAAGAAAAAATTTGAAGGAAATGTGGATATTAAAATCTATTCCATATTTTAAGCTCTTGCTGTTTTGGTAAGTACAGCTAAATGCTACCCAAAACTACAGAGCAGGCTCTGAAGATAAAGAGGCCCATGAAATGAAGAATCTTTAAATGATGGTTTAAATCTGAATGAAATAATAGTAGTAACCAAACTTAAAGATTCTCATGTGAAGGGAAAATACAGAGCTTCTGTGAAGGTCTCAGTGTCTCAGGGATTCAAAAGTGTCAGAGGTTTCAGACTCTAGGAAATAGCAAGTGTGTCAAATGGCTACAGGTTAAAAGGAGGCTGCAGTGGCCCAGAGCTTGTTCTTTGTCTTTAAAAGCCTTTACTTATCTTTAAAAAATAATTTCTTTATTTTATTTTTATGGATCATATATTGTCAGATGTCCACTGTAAAAATTTCATTTTTCCTTTTTTTTTTTTTTCTTTTTGGTACCAGGGATTGAACCTAGGGGCACTTAACCACTGAACCACATCCCCAGCCTTTCTTATTTTTTTATTTTGATACAGGGTCTCACTAAGTTGCTGAAGCTGACTTTAAATTTACAATCCTTCCACATCAGTCTCCACTGGGATTACAGGTGTGCACCACCATGTCCAGCCGAAAGCTTATTTTTTAAGCAAAAAAATAATACACTCTACTTTGATTAGAGGCTAGACATTCTGTCTTACAGAAAGCCATCTCATGGGAGGAGAAATATAATGAAGATGGAGTTTCCTAAATGGTGCTTTGCATTCATTTACTGTTGGATTCTCAGCATATCCAGTCATGTTCTCAGCCAAGGAGAACACTTCTGCTGCACCTGTTTGCCTAATTGGTTTCCCACCATCTGGGTAACCACCACTTAGGGATCCAGCAGTTCTCACCCTTGTGCTGAATTGAGCTGAGCAGCCTGGCTTTGGGGGTTACACTGATTTCTATAGTTCACTTGAAACTTTTCATATCATGTAATGCTTCTAACCAGACTTGACACCAGGAGCAATTAAGATACTATATTCCAAAAGAGATACCAAAGTTTACCTGGCACAAATACTTGATTCATCTAGACTCAGATTAATTGAGAAACTGCTGAGATTTCCTAAACATTTGCACGAGGGAGGCCTCAGGCTCAGAGAGTCCTGCCCCATGGTACTGCACAGGCAACCTTCCCACAAAACTCATCTGTGACTGCCATGGGTAAAGTCATGGTTTGGCTTAGCTTCAGTCCCTTTTTTTTTTTTTTTTTTTTTTTTTTGAGAGAGAGAGACAGAGAATTTTTTAAATTTTTTTTTTTTTTAGTTTTCGGTGGACACAACATCTTTATTTTATTTTTATGTGGTGCTGAGGATTGAACCCAGCGCCCCGTGCATGCCAGGCGAGCGTGTTACCACTTGAGCCACATCCCCAGTCCCTTCGCTTCAGTCCCTTTTGTGCAATCAAAAATATTTATCAGTTCCTAGTTAAATAGAGGGTGCAATGGGATTCAACCCTCACAGTTTCTGTCTCTAATTGAGGAATTGAGATACAAGACTATTTAAGGAAGGAGAAAAATAGCAAACATGCTAAATAAGAATAAAAGAAGATAATCATATGAACTTACATAAGGAAATCCAAAGGATTGACATAACTGTAACCATAGTGGGTTTGGAAGGAGACACACCTGGAGGAACCTAGGCAGGCGTCTTGGGTGTTACAGTATTTGATGTTACAGAATTTGACTTGGACCTGGGAGGGGTCAGTTGTCCTCAAACTTCCCTGGACATGAGGGCCATCTGGGGAGGTTTAAAAACTTCAAGGTGAGATACTTCCAGCAGGCAGTAAAGACATGGAAGTCCCAGAAGAGGGAAAGAAGATTAAAGAACCAAACCTTGTTTGGTAGTGATCAAAAGTTGGGCTCAGGAGAAAAAGAGTAAAGACAGAAAAATCAGCTTTCATCTGATTTTTATATAGTCTTGCAGGTCAGGCCAAGAATTTTGGAAACATATTTAGCCATCTTCCCTCTGCTCAAGAACAATGGGGCATATTCAGTCACAACACCTGACTTACCGCTGCAGAAATGTTAGAATTTCCTCCATAGTACATAACTTCCCTCTGTCCATGCTCACCCATTGGTTGGAAACTTAAATTTGACAGAAAGCAAGTGTAGACACATGTTAATACCTGACAGGTTCCTTATTCGCTCAGATATAGGATCCCGGCTGTTATATATGGCTATGATCCACAAACGGCAGTACAACTGCTGTGTGGGATTCCCCTGGGTTACAGCCAGGAGGGGTCACCAGGGAAGCAGCAAATCTCTCACACACAAGGTGAAGCAGCCACCCTCAGCTCTCATCTACTTCAGCAGGATGAGGGACCTGGTGCTCACAGCTCTATAATTAAGGTGCTGTCACTGTGGCTTGCTTTTCTGTTTTGTCTTTGTGTCTCTGCTTTTCTCTCTTTTTCTCTTTAAGAGTGAGCTTGGGTAAAATTCTTATCCTATCATGGATAATAATACGCTGAAACAAGTTGGATGGGTTCAAGGATGCACAAATAGAGAGAGAGATATGGGTAGGTTTTTTTTTGAAGAGGTCTGCCTTATCTAGAAGGAAATAGCTCAATTATAGGCTGGCATTTTGTAAGACTGAAGATAAAATTCTGCAAACTTTAAAAGAAAATATGTTTCACATCACTGCACTAATTTAGGAACTTGAACACAGCACCTGAATCATAATTTTCTGCTTATTTTAAAAGTGAGATTTTTTTAAAGTACTGTTTCAAGTAAGTGTGTGTTTTAGCATTAAAAGAAATGTATTGCCTCACAGCTGACAAGAAGTTCAGCACTTCCTGACAGGGCAAGACCCACAAGCACAATTGTAGCTCTTCTGCAAGGGAAAAAAAAATGCTAATAGCAACTGAATTTCTCTTCCTGTGCTGCTTCCTCTGTACTGAAGTTTAAAACGGTGGACTTTCCCAGTGACCCCTATGGGATTCTTCAGTTTCTGCTCTCCACTGAACTCCAGTGAGGCAGGACCTCTAGCCCTGCTACCTGGTTCATTGGAATAAGAGAAGATTCATCTCAGAAAGAAAGGGACAGTTATCTTTTGATTTTTCTCTGTGGCCTTTGGTGACAAGGTGCATCATGTGACTTCAAAAATATCACAATCGTTATCTTGTTTATTCATCCTTTACATTTCCACTATCAGATTTTACTAAAAGGCTTTCTGTGGGTTTCAGAAGAAGAAATGTAATCCTCTCTGATTCAGCTATTAAGAAGTTTATTGAGACCTCTGATCTTGAGCTGAGTTTTAGAAAAGAAGAAAGAGAGGAGAAGAAAAAAGGTCCTGTCTTGGCCCATCTAGCACTGGAAGAGACAAAATTATAAACCATGAACCAGTTAGAGAGAGCAAATGAACACTGAAGGGAGGGCTACTTACAACAGCTGCAGTATGGGTTCTGAAAAAGTATCCATCATGTGTACTGATGTGTTTCTCTGAAACATCAGATCGGACTATTGAGTAGGATTTAATTTTTTGGTAGTGGGAGGGAAAATGAGCAAAATTATAGAAGAATGTTCCAATGACAAAATGCAACCTTGCTGTGGCAAAACAGAAAAGTACACCGATTTTCTGGAGGGGAGAACAAGGCCGCCAGCCTTGTTCAGGCCCAGGCTTAGAGGATATTGCAGAAATTTAGGCAGATGGTAATTTGGACCTGAACTGAGGTCAAAGTACAACATAGGAAACAGGATAAGACCAAATGGGATTCACTGGAAAACTCTGAGGATCACATAATGTTTCTAATCAAAAAGGAGATCATGCAGTTTCATGTATAGCGAAATGTTTTCCTCTGGTTTCAGCATTTTCAGCAGTTTTTATCTTTAGAAATGCGTTTTGACTTTACAAGTGCATTCTTATGCTTATTGTCTTCTCTCACTACATTTTTCTTTCTTCCATAGATGAAGTGGAGCAGGACAATCATCACTGTACTTATTTTGAGTCTGGACTAGTTTGGGTTCCAAGTCATCCGGAAGAGAACCCGTTCAGTTCAGGATGTGATGCCTTCCTTGAGGATACTTTTTAATAATCGATGCAGGTCAGTGGAGTTAGTAGTGGGAACAGTGACCCCCACCTAAGACTCTGAGAAGAAGTAAGTCATTGCTACCCCCAGAAAGTCCAGTTCTGCTGGCAGAAAACTGGAAGTTGAGGTTGCTAGGACGACCAGGTAGAAATGAATGGTATGGGCCTGCTTCCTCTCCACTAGTTTAAAAAATGTATTGTCTTTTCTGCTACAAAGAAAGATAGGCACACACACACACTGAAAAGTGTAAAAGAACTCAAAATCAGTGAACTCAAAATTAAATGAGCTGATTTCAGTTTCAACCCTGCCCCACCAAACTCACATACACGGATTTTTTTTAGTTTGACAAACCTTGTGACTTCTCCTTGTTTCTTACACTGGTTTCATTTCATCTCATCAGTATCATAACAATTGTTATGATAGGTGTTTTATAAATGTTTTCCATGTGATAGATACTGTAATCAAGGAAACAGAAACTCAAAGCACTGTCCAGTGTAGGGAATTGGCAAGTGTCTGTTCCAAGACTGACCTGGAAGTAGAAGTTCTTCATGCCTATGCACACCTACCAGTGGTATATAGGCTCAGGTAGAGCCATGCCACAGGTGGCCATCCCTGTGGCTGGCAATGCCTTGGCCTTCATAAATTTAAAAATTTACAAATATAAATAAAAAATAGACAGTCTGGATACATTGGCTATAACAGGAATAGTTGTATTTCCTACAGCTAATTAGGTTCTCTTTTTAAATATTCATTTTATACCAATGTGGCAGAGTACTAAAATGGCAATCCCAAATCTGACTTTTTTAATTCTTGTAAAAATGTATTATTCATATAAGTAGGGAAAGTCATTTACACTTTCTTGCCTATATTGTATGTGTGTGTGTGTGTGTGTGTATGTAGGTTTTCATAGAGCAGGTTAGATCTTTGTGAGCTAATCTGTAGTCTGAGTTCTACTGAATCGCATTCTTCTTCTTCAGAATATCTTGTTAATGTTCTCAAATAACCCAGTCAAAATGATAGAGAATCTCTGCCTATCCTCTTTCTAAGGACTTTTCAGAGTGCTACTTTATGTAATGTATATACATGGTTATATTTAATGGATGATGACACTATCACATAAGTATTTCATAACAATTAACTATATCTACAAGTTTAGAAAACTATATTCAGAGAAGTGAAGTGACATGGCTAATAACTGGATGACCCAGGATTGAAATCCAGGCTTTCTGTTCCTATTGCAGGAGTTGTGCTATCAAATACAAGCAACTGACCCCTTGAACTTACCTAGCTGTAATGGTAAACTGTGAGAATCAATTCCCCTATAACTTCCTTAATCATAGCTGTAAAATGCATTAAACACTTGGTATTATGTCTGGTTAAGAATTGGTTCATATCCTGCCAAAATTCATACGTGGAATCCCTAAACCCCCCAGGATGTGACGTCATTTGGAAACATGGTTGTTACAGATATACATAGTTAAAATGAGACCACACTGGAATGCAATGGACCCCTAATCCAGTATGAGTATTCTCCTTATCAAAGGGGGAAATTTGGACACAAAGACATGTGCACACATGAGAAAAGCATGCGCATTCTGGGTTTTGTTGTCACAAGTCAAGGAAATACCAGAAGCTAAGAGAAAGCCCTAGAACCGATCTTTCCTTTGCACTTTCAGGAGAATATGACCATGCCAACACCATGGTTTTGGGTTTCTGGCCTACAAAATTGCAACACAATATCTGTTGCTATAAGCCACACAGTTTGCAGTACTTTGCTACAGCAACTCAACTAACACAGCAAGAAATGGAGCAACAAGTACAAGAAGATAAAATAAACTATGACACCAAAAGCTTAACATTTTCCTCTAAATAGCCATGTTAATTAAGATCACCTAGACAGCAAATTCTTTATTGACTCAAACACTTTGATAAAGATAAAGAAATTTAGTATGATCCTAAAATTGCTCTAACTTGCATCACAGATTCAGTGACTCCTGTTTGAAAGAAATGATCAGGCCATATAGCTCAAATATCCATCAGATACTTGAGTATATCTTCAACATTGTATCAACAAAGTGAGTTTTCAGACTCTACTTGGATATATCTGCTAATTTCCAAGGTAACCCATGCTATCTTTAGCAACTCTGATGATTAAGATATGATTTTCTATTCAACTGAACTGTATGTATAGATTTCACCCATTTGTTATAGTTCAGTTCCTTAAAATAAGAAAGAACGGATCTAATTCTCTTTTCACATATCAGTCCTTTGAATATTTGCACGTTGTCATATCCTTTCTGAGTCATGTAGTCCCCAAACTAGCTCTCGAGTTCTTTGAACTACTACTTTTATAACATAGTTTGGAGTTTCTTAACCTTGATGATCATTTCCATCAAATGTGTTCTAGTTTATTAGATCTTTTTTTCCCGTGGAATACCCAAAGCTTGTTTATGGTCACAGAAGTACCACTTAGTATTTTAAACACATTATTTTTTATACTATTCCTCAACAATTGTACCCTGGTTTTGGAGGGCATTAGAGTATGCAGTAATATTTTTACTAGATTTAATTTAAAATTAATTAAAAACTTTTCATCATGTTTTTCTCTAGACAAGTTGTGTGAAACTAAGCTCTGACTTGATCACCAAATGCCATAGAGGCCTGTACATAACAAGAGCCTGTGAGTCGCAGCATGAATGAATGAACACGTCTGCAGATACTAATACATCCCTCCGAAATTTTCAGTTTTGTTGTTTTTTTTAATCCCCAAAAGAGAAACTTATACTTTATTTTTAAATTCAGTCAGAGTATAAATGCCTTCTTACCAATCAATATTTCTACCTTTCATCACATATCTTTTATACAAAAAAGATTTTTCTTATGTTTGCAAATTGCTTCTAACCAAAACTAAAATGGCATGAGGGAAATAGTCATATTAAGACTTGTTTAACAAAAATGTGCTCTATAGTCTTCATCTGAATAATGGTGCAAACATACTATGTGGTGTGTGTAGATGCGTTAGCAAGTTCTGTATACACGTGTATATGCATATTTTCAGAGTCATATCATTTGGATTTTAACCCTAATGAAAAAAGGCTATAATTAGTTCTTTTTTTTTTTTTAGTAATTATAGTAATATCATAGTGGCTTTTGAGATTAGTTTTTTGCCTACATGCATGAAACAACCCCAAATTTTAACTTAATGTAAAGGAAAAAAGAGTGTGAGCTGCATTCTATTTCAATTTTCCCAATGAATTATTCAAACTCCTAAAATAGTCGTTGATATCTTGTGTAGATATCCTATATGTAAAATAAAAATTAAAAAAAAAACTCTTCTCCTTGACTCACAGGGACATTAGAGGGCTGATGGAGTGTATTTATAAAATGTTTCGTGAATTAAAAGACAATTGCGTTAACAACAACTTGAATGTTGTATGTAATAGGAAATATCACTGTTTTGGATTTTTTTGTAAATAAGTTGTTTCACAAGAAATATTTCAAATAGCTTGAATTCTTGATTTGACATGCAATAGTTCTCTTATTAGTTGCTTTACTATTGAGTTCATTTAATTATCATCATTTTAAGGAGGATGTTTCATGTTAGCTTTTTCTTATTAAATGAAACATAAGTAAATCTTAAATTTTCTGTTTAAGTGTCTATCACAAATTCTAAAACAAAGTATAAAAATATGCTCTGAGAGCATATTTTATTTTATTTTAGTGACATATAATTTTTTTAGTGACATATAATCAAGCCACATTAATCAACTAACCGTATAGCCCATATAATGATACTGAACCTGATTGAAGGGCTTCCATGTTGTCTTTGTTAGGGCCTTGCTAAATTGCTGAGGCTGGCTTTGAATTTTCTACTTAACTCTTCTGAAAGAAACTAGCCTGATTGTTTTTTATGTCTCCCAATGGAAAAATCTAAATTTTGTGTTCAACATGACATCCTCTATAAATTATTCAAATGACACAAATAAAAAGTGAGTCTTATATAGTACTTTGGCAGCATCTTACTATAGGACATTGCCTGTATTGTAGAATATTCTGACATATTATAGGACTCCTTGCTATTTAATATGGTGCTTATTATCATGTGTTATTTTCAGGGAAATACAATTTTAAATAAATTCTATTCTATTATTTTCATAAGTTACTCTTAGTTTAGGAAGCAGAATACAGTTTGTACAGTTTCATTTAATATATTGACATTTTCTCTATTTTTAGTTATATCCCAGCCATTTTTAATAGTCTTATATATATTTATTTCCAGTTTTTTCTCTATTGTAAGCAATGCAATGATGAACAAGAACAAAATTTTAAGGAAAACATAAAATTATGGAACCAAGGAACAAGTTTCACATATCCTGGAAAATGATAAAAAAATGATAAAATCTGAGTGATTCTGGGGACAGGTTTAGGAATATGATACTTAAAAAAAAATGGGTACAAGGAAGGAAGTGGGAGAATATCAAAGATGTATTGTACCTGCCATTAAATCTTCCCAGAATCATCCTTCTGTTTGTTGGCAAAGGTGCCCTGGCTCTAACAAAAACATGAAAGACCTGTCAATAAGACTTCACTTGATCTGAGTAAAAAATACATGCCAATCTATCGTTGATATATCCTCTATTTGTATTAGTGATATTTTGGTTAACCATTTAGAAAATGACAGCTTGAAATTCCCAAGGTATGTTCAGAAATATTTTATTCTAGTTATTGAGAATAAATACATACTTGAGAAGATACTTCAAATAAAAATATATTAATCTGATGCTGAAACAGCATAATGCCAAATACTTCATAATCTGGCCTGTAATCCCAGTGGCTTGGGAGGCTGAGGCAAGAAGATTGAAAAATCAAAGCCAGCCTCAGCAATTTAGCAAGTCCTTAAGCTACTTAGCAAGAACTTGTCTCAAAATAAAAAAAAAAAAAACACTTTAAAAAGGCTGAGGATGTGACTTAGTGGTTAAGTGCCCCTGGGTCCAGTCCCTAGTTTAAAAAAAAAAAAAAAAAAATCTGGCTTCTATTTCTACCTTTGCCTTCAAACTAAAAGAAATGATGTATTCTCTCAGAAAAGAAGAAGAAGAAAAAACCCTGTTAAATCTAATGACCCATTTCTAGTCTTTATTTTTGCTGACCAACCTGTTCCATTTAACCCTAATCACCATCCTTGATAGTTCCACTTTATGATTATGCCTTCTGCCCTTGGATTCTCTTTTATACTTCTCTAACCGCTTTCTCTGTGTCCTATTTTTAATCTTCTATACTTAGGGTTCCTCAGAATGCTATATTTTACCTGATTCTCTTATGTTCCCCTTTTTCTGTCACTTTGCAAAATTATCCATTTGTATTCTATCCCAGATGCACATTACCTCCTAACTTCATTCCAGATCCCCAGGCCTGAATTTCCTGCCTGCATACCTGACTAATCTGCAATTCTCTGTCTAACCAATACTACAAACTTGGAATATCCAAACAACACATTTTCCCCCCAAATTGCATTCCCAATTCTTATCGCTTAAGCTTCTTTAATTACTTCTGCCTTCTTAAGAATTGGATCCCCTGGTATAGCTACATGGTTAAGAGAATATAGTCTTTACAGGAGTCAAACTAGGGTTTGGATTCTGTCCTGCTTCTAGTAGCTAAAAGCCCTTGGCACATTTCTTAACATCATATGCCTCTATCAATCAAAATAGGAATGTGTAAAAAACAGTTAACTGGCACAAATTAAATGCTAAATAAATAATTATTATTTTTCTTTTGTGTGTCATTTTCATTTGGCCCTCTTCCTCCCATGAGAACACAACAGTTATCTAGGTTTCATTGTCTCTTACCTAACAATTACAATAGCATACTAATCGGTCCTTTTTCTTTCAATCTGTCTTCCTGATACAGTGAATATTTCATCAACTTCATCTTTGAAACATCTCTCTATCTCATAATTCCTTTATTCAGAAGCATCTGGTGTCCTGCCTCACCCCTAAGTGACAAAATCTAGACCCCTTAGCATGTGACTTATTGTAGCTATGAACAAACGGTTGAATAGAACTTTAGTGATACTCCTTGCTGGAATAGAATTACTATTAGTAAAACAAATTGACTGTAGCATCCAATGTCAGAAACGAATGGGGCCCTAGAACTTTAGTAGCACCACAAAATTAAGGCAGATATGAACAAGGAGCCATAAAGTGCCCTTCCATAAATTATCACAATGCAATAAGTCTGTCTATAATCAGTCCCCACCCATTCTCCCTGTGCTATCCCCCTCATTGTCTTAAAGACAATTTGTGCTTTCATCAACCAAACCATCTCCATCATTCACACTTTGACTCCATTGAATGAACTTCCCATCAACTGAATTTACCAGCTCTACTCAGATAACCCCAAGGTGGCAAACTCAGTGGCAGTTAATGGCAGGGTGATTAGAACCAATAATTTGAATAAGAAACATCAGAGAGCCTTGGATTAATAACAGATACAATCTGAAGTTTTATGTCATGATTACTTAAGTCCTTAGCTCAAAGTTTCTCTTAAATTGCCTTCACAAATGCCATTGCATTTGAGTATATTTGAGCATATTTCATCATCATCATCAGAGATTCCTATCTTTTTTTGTCAGTCTGTCTTTCAAGAAGCTGTCAGTTGATTGGGGAACCACAATTCCATTCCCTGGGCTGGGTTCTTTCCATGATATATAACATAAGCTCAACTTACAATTTACAAATTCTTTGTCTTTCTGAATAAGCAAAATATTATTCAGATCTTAAATGAGTCTATGAAACTTTTCTGATAGGACCATGATAATTTCCAGAGTATCAGATCTAGCTTAAGTTAATTAGTCTAGAAACATTTCTCTTCTGATACTGCTTATCTCCAAGCTATATAATAATTTTCTTGGTGAAGGTCTTTTTAAAATCCCTCTCCTTCATCAGTCTTATTCAGAATGTTCTACCCAATGACTACTATTTCTTTAAATATCCTTTCTGATGCATTTATGTTTTTATATTATAAAAAATTCATCCTATTTGGTTGCCACCCATTATGATTCTAGTCATACACAGTTTACCATGTTGTTGGGAAATTGCAAATTTCTTATTGTTCTCATGTAAATAGCAGATGCTGCTATGAGCTCACAATCTTTATTATTTAAGTCTGATTCAAAGGGGAGAACTTTCACAAAAACTTTACATTTAAGTTCTCAGTAATTTTTTTAAAAAATCTCTTCCTAATTGCATCACCTGCACTTTGCACCATTACATCATAACAATCTGCAGATAATAAGAAACAGCAGGAAAAAAGACTGATAAATGTTAGCCTTTCAGAGATTGTATGTTCTTTTTGAAATCCCAGAACAGATAGCATTTCAAGTTAATTCCAGACATTTCAATATTTTAGACTTCCCCAAATATACCAACATGTAAATTCAATCTTTTCCTTTAGCAATTCCAAATTCTTAAACTTCCCACATCATATTAGGAAAAACTATCAAAGGGGCCACAAAGTACTTTCATATGCCATACAGCATGTTCTCTAAGGTATCCACAGCAGTTTTCAGGCCAAGCAAAGGACATAGATGAGAATCTCTAATCACTGCTTAGCATTTAAAGATTAAAACAAGGACACATTTTAAAAATATGCGTGCTCTTCAGTAAAACTGACCTCTACTAGTCATCTGGTTAAAGTATAGGAGATTGAAACTTTCTGGCTAAATAGAAGAAAAAAATAGGTAGATTATATATACTTTTTTTTTTAACTTCAGAAAACAGAAGATGAGCGTGGTCTAAAACATTTAAAATCTGGAGAGAGATAAACCCTCTGGAGGCCACTTTCCTGGAAGCATGGGAGAGTACAGAATCTGGCTGGACTTTTGCAGACTTTTCTGAAGAGCAGAGGAAACAAATAGAACAATAAACAGCAACCTTAGTGGTATGACAGATGGAAACCGTAAGAGTTGAACCCTAGACACAGAGCTGATTCTTCTTGGCTGCCCTGATCCCCTCATGAGACTTGCTGTATTCACCGAGGAAGCAGTAGTGGAAGCTGGAGGTGGATTGAGAAAGACTTCCATTAACTCCTGGAGTTTATAGCCTGAAGCAATGCTAGAGGAACAAGTCAATAACACACACAGGAAATCCTGAAGTTATTCAAAACCAGATGTAAGCTGAAACTTACCAAAATGTCAACTTAGCCTCAACCAAACTCAATTCCTGATTGTCTAAAAGTGGTTAAACTCTCCCTAGCTATCTAACAGAGCCTTCATCTATTAGATGCCCTATCTTACTGCAGTCTTTATGATTCTTCTAAACACAATGTCTCAGCATTTTAAAAAATCATGTGTGTGTGTGTATGTGTGTGTGTAACATACATACATAAATGCTGAGACATTATGTTTATACATGTACATATACTTATACATACACACTTATGAAACAAGTCATATGATCTTCCCATCATCAAGAGAAAAAAAAAACTGGGTTTTGTTTGACATTCAAGGCTAGGTTTTAATGGATCAATAGAAATAGTTCCTTCGAGACTCACAGGAGGTTGGAATTTATAAGAAAGCCTTTTAAAAGTAACTGTGACAAATATGTTGAATAAATTAATGGAAAAGGACTATGAAATAGATTTGAGGTGCAGAACAGCATAAGAGAAATGGAATCAAGAAAAGTTGGAAGAAAAGGAGGAAGAGGAGAAGGAAAAGAAACATGGGTACTATAGAACGGAATGACAGATATCCAAAATGAACATGGATTTAATGATACGCTGTTCACCGAAGGAAAAAAGGATCTGTGAACTCAAAGACATACTAATAGAAATTATTCAAACAGAAGCAAAGAGATGAAAGATAAAAACTGAACTTGGTGACTCTGAACATGGTAACTGTGTTAATAATCCCCTGAGGCCAGTGGTGCCTGACCTCAGGGAGTTCCAATATACCAGGTCCAGCCACTCACTCCAAAACAGAATCAAATGGCAAAAGTTATGGTGAAGTAGAAAAGAAATTTAATATTCAGTATAGCCATACTAATACTGGTGTCTTCAGCCCTGTCTTCAGGGTACAGACAGGAGCTTCAGGTTTAAATAGGGAAAGAATTTCATAAATAGGGAAGGTCAAAAGTTATGAGTAATTAAGCACGGTGTGTCAAACTGTGGTCTGTTTGGCTGCTATCTCAAGTTGGATTCTGCAAGGTCCTAGAGAAGTTGTTATTGCTTGAGGAGGCAATTGATTTACTATCATGTGATAATTACACCTGTTTAGACGAGCAGCCTCAGTTTCCATCTTGGGATAATTGGTCCCAATTAGATCACTTCATCATGAGGCGATCTTCTGCAAGTCTCTGGAATCTAAAGTGACTGCTAGAGAAAAGGATAAGTCAGAAAGGCAGGATAAGTTTCTTCAGTTTTGAAGCACCGACTCTGTACTTCTAAGCATTGTCATAGGGGCTCACAACAGGATGTTTTAAAAGCCAGCAATTGATAATCTGTTGATTACTATGTCCCTGCAAATACTGAAAATGCCTTAGTTACTCTTATCTTGGTGCCTTCAGTCTTAAAGGGAATTGAGATAGGTTAGGTAAATTTAGGACTAAACAACATACTACTACCAGTTTTTAGACAGATGCTTCTTAGATGATTAACATGTTTACAGGCAGAGTTGAGAGGGAATCTGACCCAAAGTTTACAGCAGAGAAGAGAAAGAGAGACAAAAGGCAGGCAGAGATGCCAAGGTTTTATTCTACTGTTAATTACCCATTGGATATCTGAGTCCCAAGTGAGGAACTGGTACTTTCAGCAAAAAAACTTTCTGACTATAAGACCCTATGACAAACAGTGCATAAAAAATCAAATGGGACAATACCAAAGAGTCTAACACCTGTGTAACTGAAGTCCCAGAAAAAGAAAAACAGGGGGAAGAACAGGGCAGAAGAAATATTTGAACAAATACCACCAAGAATTTACAAAATTAAGCTTAAAAATATCTATTTAAATATTTAAAAACCTTAGGTTGAACAAAGCAAGATGAATGAAAAGAAAATGATAACTAAAGAGGGGAGGGAAAGAGAAAATACTGGGAACTGAAGTGGAGCTAATTACATTCCATGCATGTATAGTATGGCAGGGTGCATCCCACTATTATGTATAACTATAATGAACTCACAAAAACATTTTTTAAAATTTGGTATAAAACAAAATAAAGAGAAAATCATTAAAGTAGCCAGAAAATAGAAAAGTTATATTCAGGAAAATCACAATAAGAATAATGAATGACTTTCCCTTAGAAACAATGACAGAAGATAATGGGTCACTGTCTTTAAAATGCTGAAAATAAAAACCTGTCAACTTAATATTTTATACCCACAGTAGATACTATTATTACCTACCTCACAAGGTTTATGAGGCTTCAGTGAGTTAATATTGCTATAATTTTTCTTGGGAAAAAATTCTTAAAGCAAATGCAACAATATCAGTGTAATGTATATGGTAGTTATTTTCTTTTTCATACTTTTCTACAATCACAAACTCATGATATTATTAAAACAGGACAACTTAATAAAAGATATGCTTCAGGAGAACAGGGACTTTGTTAAGGTCACTGTTCTATCTCAGTGCCTGGAAGAGTGCCTGGATCATCTATAAATTAGCTCACAACATGGATATGTGAAAACCTTTTTCCAATAGTAATTTATAATATATGTGAATAATTTATAATATATGTGACAAGGGAAAAAAAGAAGAAGAACAATTAAAATTTGGACCAATTTAAATCTTAAAAACTGAAATAAGGTTGTTTATATGAAAAAAAGTAATTTTGCAAATGCTTATATCTGTGGTGCAGACATCAGCTCTTTTACTTTCAAAAGATCTCAAGGAGCAGAGCAATAACATCATTTCTTTCTCTTATCCTTCAACTTTAGTCTTTCCTATCACTGAGCTACAGAAAATGTTTTCTTTTGGAGAAGGCTGAAAAATTAGATAAAAAAGAGAAACATTGAAGTCAAATATACAAGCCTAAAAGACTGAAGTGTTTAGGAGGAAAACTTTTATCATGAACTTACTACACATCACAAATCAAGGGAGTCTTAGGGCCAGAGGGGTACTTAGAGATCACCATCCCTGCAAATTACAAATGATCAAATTAATCCCGGAGAGGTCACAGTGCTAATTCGAAATAAGACTGAGGCTAAAACCCATTCAAGATTTGTTTGATATTCAAGATTTGTTTTTAATGGCTCTGGCTTTGTCAATTTTTCTTTAAGGACCTTCTTTTCTTCCTGTATCCATGTCTGTTCTCTATTAGGTTTTCCCTGCTAATGGATGTCAGGCAGATTTTAAGCAGCATCAAAACTCTTTCTGGGAATAGATAGTGGAAGGCACACACTAGTATCTTCTCCTCAAAATTGAAAGCTTCAGAAATCCTATGAGTATCATAGGAAAGACTGTAATTTATAGTAGTCCTAGAGAGAAAGTGAAGTTTCTCATAAATGATTTGAGACATTGCTCTATTAATTTAGTGGGTGAATTTGACATTAGTATGGAGAAATCTACAACTTGAACTTAAAACTAAGGACTTTTGACTATTTATAGTGATTTGCCTGTAAAAAAATAAGTGACAAAAATTCATGATCATTAATACCAATGGACATTTTTGTCACTTATCAATTTTTTTCTTTCTATAATAGCCCCCACCTCCTAATTACAGTTTCTAGAATCTGATTGATAAAGTCTGAAAACTAGGGGGTTATTTTTCAATCAAAATAATACAAATATCATAGCTACTTATTAATTAATACAAATATCATAGCTACTTATTAATTAATCAATATACATATTCCAGTATACATATTTAAACTGAGCTGAAATTTAACTAGCTTAAGTATGCCACATATTTGATTTCTTGCCTTTCCAGTTTGTCATATTGTTTCTGATGCTTCCTTTTCTGCTAAATGGCCTACCTCATAGCCAATTTTCTCCACCATTTAATCCTGCAGCCAAGCATGATGCTGTATGGGCAAGAGTGATATATCATTATTATTACCACCAATTTTGCTTTAGGGTCAAACTAAGTTGACTTTAAGAATTTAATTTTAATGCATAGTACAATTACAGATGATGGAAGTACTTTAAATTTTCTGTGGTTTCTTTTTTCATATGTTAATTTTCATAATCAGAACCCTACTGTCCTAAGAAAATCTGTCTCAGAGCACCATAAACTTTTCCAATATTTAAAAAAATTTCCCCATCTCTCTATGTAAAGAATTAATCATATTTCAATCTTAAGAATATTTTAGTATTTTTATTATTAAAGAGAAATTATTCAGATTTTTTTTAAAGAGCAAAGAAGACTTTATTGAAGACTACTGAAATATGGCAAAGGTATTGAACTCAACTTGAAATACCAATAAGGGAAATGGGGGTTTAGAGGCAGTGGGGAGAAGATGGAAAATTTACTAAGAGGAAGTTGCTTAAGATAACAAGGAGGAGGATGTGAAATATCAAAGGTGTGGAAGATTCCTATAAACTGGCTAGTAAGGATTCTTTGCTAAAACTGGTCTCAGTAGGGCAAAGTCAAAGCCTAGTCCAGAAGAGGTCTCAGATCATGCTGACTAAAGTTTTTCAAAGAAAAAGTTTTCATCTTTCATTTTTCTAAACTTGGATTCACCCACTAAAAAGGGCCAATTAAGAGTGCTAGCAGTTCTGGGCTGGGATTGTGGCTCAGGGGCCGTGCGCTCACCTAGCATGGGCGGGGCCCCGGGTTCTGGTTCCATCCTCAGCACCACATAAAAATAAAGGCTTTATGTTGTGTCCATCTACACCTAGGATATAATTAAAAAAAAAAAGAGTGCTAGAGGTTCTGTGCTGGTTTTTATTTAGGCCTGGAAAATAAACTTCATCATTATTTATAATGCTATTATAAATGACTGACACAAGCTGTCTTATTCAAATGAAATCTTTTAGCAAAACACCACACACACATACACAATCTGTTCCATGAACTATAGGAAATCTGATCAATCTCATAAGATGATGAAAATATTTGTGATATTTATATTGTACTTACTATTTGCTAGTCCCTGTCCTAATCAATTACCTAAATTAATCCCTTCAATCCTACCTAGTCTTCTAGTGGAAGTGCTATTGTTATATCCATCCTGGGGCCAACAGAGAAACAGAAGCACATGGCCATTACAAAGCTTGTCCAAAGTTACCCAAGTTAGATATGTCAAGGTTATAATTAGAACCTATGCAATGTGACTATTGAAAGAATGTTCTCTACCACTGTGCCTGCCTGCACCTATAAAATCTCTTCTCCTGGTTCTCCCTGAACAAACACATATAACCGGAAGGTGGGTGAAGGGTATGTAGAATGACGTAGAGTTGTGGAAGTCCATACCTTTAGGCACATTCTTTGCATTTACACCTCCTTTCTTCCTAAATCTAGTCTAGTACTTAACACAGAGCAGGGCATGGACAATTTTTGTCCTCAGCTAAATTACTGACTGAGTGAATTGACTGCATATTCAATTCCTGATGACCAAAAAGATAAATGTTTCTCAATCTCTGGTGTGCTGATCTGCAATGACAACACTTTAGGACCAGAAGGCACTGTCTGTATGACATAATACAAGGACCATGGCAGTTGTCCATGGGAAGCCCAGCCCACAGAGCTTTCCAGGTTCAGTTCAGGGTGAGCTGGACCTCAGGCCAGGGAATATAAAGGCGCCACGCACCTTTCCTCTGAAGGTTCTGGAACCCCCTGGTGAAAAGCTGCTGGTCTTGGGATGCTGTGAGAGCCAGTCTCATTGCTAATTAGACCTGATTTAAACTCTGCCATACTTTCTGCTCAGCTGTTATTCATACCTTCTGGTCTTAGAGAAATACGTACGCAGTCAGAGAAATCAGAAGAAAAGGTAAGAGAAAAACCAAGCAATGTGCAGAGACTCAGATGTTGCTAAAGCTGTATTCATAGAAGTAACAAGCTGAATGAGTCTCAGGGTGAGAGACTGGTCTTTTCATCTCATTTACACTTTTCTTTGGTCTCTACCATAGCTCAGCAGAGCTCATTTATCAAGAAATCAATGACTAATTTCCTGTGAAGTATAACCAAGAAATCTGCGATGTTCTACATTGGTTAAAAGAGAATACTTGGTTTCACCCCGTGCTGTGAAATCCAAACCAAATAATTGTTGCAACTGATTTAAGCATTTGAATTTTTAAAAAGATGAAAAAGTTCACTCAGACTATGACATGCAATGCTGAACTTTCCTATGGGGTGAGGGACTACAGGGAGGGCATGGAGGGGATAGTTGTTTCCAGTCTCTGAAATTCAATTCTGCTGTATGTGCATCATCAAGTATTGCTTTGCCACAGCTGGTGCATATTTATAGTCTTAAGAGTTTTCATATGAGATTCAAACATAGATTAAAGTAGAAAGGAACTTGAGAGCTCTAGGGAAGAATATGATATTTCAATTGCATTTGATCATTTTATTGAGTTTGCCTAGAAAAATCAGTTAAAAAACAATTTTCATACTCAGAGCTCAGATTATACATTCCAGCTTGTGCATGACAATAGGTTTCTTTTCTTTCTTTTTTTTTTTTTTATTAATCAACTCCAAAGTACTGAGAAGATTGATCATTCTAAATCTTTTGGGTATGGTGGAACTGGAACAGGGCCTTCATTCCATGAACATTTCATCTGCTTTTCTCTTCATCTGGCATGAAGACTTGCTCAAATCTTTACATACTGAAATAGTGACTTATTAGATTTAGCAGTAATTTTTAAAAGACATTAATAGTGTATTTAAATTGCAGAGTGGAATTATTGCAATACTGTGAAAGATGTTTGATTATATAGAAGAGTTGCCAAGTGAGTATTAATTGCTTTATGCCCTTTTTTAAAGCAAAGGAACATGAAAATAATGTGAACTGACAAACAATTAGTTGATTTTGTAAATCAAGGACTTTTGGACACGTTGCTTAACTTCTTGGAGCCTCAGTTTTCTAATCTGTATTAATGCTACCTGCCTTCTAGTTTTGTTATAAAGATCAAATGGGGGAGCTGGGGTTGTGGCTTAGCGATAGAGCCCTTGCCTCACATGTGCGACACCCTGGGTTCAATCCTCAGCACCACATTAAAAAAAATAAATAAGTGAAATAAAGGTATAGTGTCTATCTACAACTAAAAAATAAATATTAAAAAAAAGATCAAATGGGATAAAACATGTGAAGTTCTCAGCAGAAGACTTGGCACAAATGTATAAGCTATTGTTACTGTTGCTACAATTTATTTGATTGTCGATCAAACTTGATAGTCACAGCAGTGCACCTTTACATAATGCTCGTTTTTCCAGTGGGAAACTCGGCTAAAGGGACTCTGGAATATTCTATAATGCTATTTCTTATAGGAATATATCTCAAGGAAAGATCAAGACTCATAGATCCCTGGCCTTTCTGACTACCCAATGAGACAGTAGGACAAATACTGGTGTGGATATTCCAAGACAAACAAGCAGCAAAGGTCGCCTTTAATTGTGGCTGCCACAGATTTGCTCAACAATAGTCTCATTAGTACACCTTCAGTCACCTCAAATCCTCACATTGTTTCATTTCCAAAATTGATTGCAGCTTCTCTTATTTCCAAACTGAGTAATAATGTGTGGAGGTGAAAGTGCAGGCTGTTCACCCTAGGAAATGCTTAGCCAGGATCATCTCACTAGCTTCATATAAAAGGAAACCTTATGGCTCCAGAGATTGAGTTCCTGAGTTGAACTTTCTATACTTTCTCCTACTTATACAAGGCACTTAACCCATTTGTTCCATCATCCTAGATATGGAACACTTATTAAAAAAATTAAGCAACAAATATGCTACTATGGTAATTTTGAAGTAATTATGTTTGCAGAATTAAAAACTTGGGACTTAACAGGTTCAACTCTCTGAGCTGAACATTTTCATTTGTTACCTCAAAGAGTTATTGTAAAGATTATATGAAAAAATAATTGTATAGTACACGGGCCATTGTAGTAAGTGTCAATAAATGTTAGTGATTCTCATTATTCTTTTTGGTGAAGATTTGCTGTGGTTTCATTATACAGTTTCCTCCCTGAGTTATTTGGCTTACAGTAAAGGAATCAGGAGAAAGGGGAATTAGAAGTCTTATTCCCAAACCCATATTTAAGACCTCTGTACTTGATTTATTTATGAATTTAATAACAGGATCTGGGAATTATCTTTGAATTTAAACTATTGTATTTTTCATTTCTAACAGTGAAGATTCACAGAGTCCTGGGGCAAGATCTTTATTACTAAAGTACCTCTAAGGAGTTAATTAGAAAAAACTTCATATGCATATTTATACTCTGGGGAACAAAAAGTTTTAAGTGGCAGGAGTCAATTTCAAATTACTTTGGAATAGTGAACCTATTTATGATGGTGAATTACTTTCAAAATGAAAATCTAATCCAACCCAAATAATTCTGATTTCATATTATGAAATGGTCGGATATTTTTATAATTCTCTGTGTCTCCTATCAGAGAGTTTGGATATGTATCTACTTTTCATGCTTTTTCTATTCTGCTTTGAAATCACCTTAGTCCCTGTCCCACCCTGGCTTGTAGCATGTGTATGGAGTCTCTAAATTCCTCTTACTAGGAATTTTGTATAATGGTATAGAACACTACTGAATTCTTCTAGAGAAAAATAGTGCCATTTGGGAAGATGGTGGAGATATCCAGCTGGAGGATCTATCATGTCTATCAAAATACTATGAGATGGTATCTTTCAGGGAACACAGGCATACTCAATGCATTTTGAAAACTTATTGTACTAATATCTTTCAAAACAAAATTCAAAGAAAATGTCACTTTCTGCTTTTATAAGGAGGCCCTTTTTTCTATCTTTTAGATAAATGAGAGACTTCTTATAGTGGGTTGGTACTCAGATCTCTGCAGGGTACCTTATGGCCCATCATTATTCTATTTCTCAATTCTGGTGTTTGTTAACAGTTTGTCTCCTTTGTTGGATGGAACTAGAAGGCATTTATATTGATAAGTTTAAAAGAAGGTGTTAGTTCTGAGGAGGGATTTAAATGAAAGGAAATAGAAACATTATGTTAAATAAGAAATAAGACCTTGTCCATGTGAATGGCTGGTGGTCCATTCACTATTCCTGATCCCATGGCTCCTTATTTTCTCTTTCACCTTTCTTAGGATTAGTAAGCAAGGAATGATACTTTTAATTTATGAGAAAGAAGCAGGTCCCTTCTCATTCATGATTTGCTTTTCTGTTGACCACATTCTGCATGTTTTTACATCAATTGCCCCAAAGTTTCTGCCACCCATTTTTTTTTTCAGTTTATCTTTTATGCAAGGATATTACAACTGATTGCTTCCAGGCAGTCTTAGGCAGGCAGATTGCCTTATTAATCTTTGATTTTTCAAAACCACAATAAATTAGAGATTTTAGTATCAGTCATGGAAAAAATCTAAAAAAGTAGCATTCTCTTAACTTCAGGAAAATTTTCTTTTCCTAAGAATTTTTATGTACCATGTAGTTTCACAGGGAAATTAAAATCTACTCTGTTCTATTAGAATAGAATAATAGCCAAAATTTGTGTACATTTCATTAGTATACTTCACTGAGCTAAAAAAAAATCCATTTTTTTCCTTTTAAAAAGTAGATTTTTTTCAAAATTCATTATATTTATTATGGTTTTACCCAGAAAAATACTCTAATACTCCTACATCATGCTTTTATATTGTTTGTTTGTTTGTTTGTTTGTTTCCAAATGAAAGAAAAAAATAGGACTGTTTGTTTTAAAGTATTAGATGCTGTCTTTGCCTTTATTTTCTGTTCTGTCAAATGGAACTTCATCTCTTAGAACTAGATTTGCTTTAAAATATTACATATTAAACAAGCTATCATTTTTAAGTACTGAAGTATCTAAGAACATTTTCTTTGAGAAAGTTGTTATATAATTGATTGTTTTATGATGATATATTCAAATTTTTCTCAGATTCAGGTAGATATTAATTTCCAGTGTGAACATCTCTGATTGGCATTCTGCAATTTCAGATGAAAATCATCAAGAGAATGTCTCAGGCAGAAGGAAAGTACAGAGACTATTAAAGATTTCTTTTCCTTCGTGTGCAGAAACTCAATGATATTCTTTCTGTAATTGTACAGTTGTGATACTCTTTGTAGGCATGTTAACAATGGCTGCTTTTAAAAGTATTTTTCCCCATTAAATAATGTATTTTGAAGCCCATATTCCCCACTTATTATAGCAAGCTTATCTCCAATTTACAGTTGACCTGTTGTAGGATAATTGGGATACTTTGGAGTTATAATCTGCTTTTAATTATTCTAATGAGGGAGAAACAAAAAAAATTCAGGTATCAGGTTCCTGAAACATATATGGTATTTATTAATAGATCCATATGAAAAACTGAATTGTAAGGGTTGGAAAATCTGATTTTTAAACAAGCTCTGTGGGTGATCCAAATGGGAATCATTATCCCAGCTATATCCTTCTTTAAGTTCATGATGTACCTGCTGGTAATTTCATCTCTCAACTCAAAGGAAATAGAATGAAAAATAACTCTGAGGAACAAGAAGAAATTGGTTGGTGAATTAAATATGTCAGAAACTTCTTCATTCAGTCAGTCATTCAAGAAATCTTCACTGAGTGTCTACTAAGAGTTGAGCTCTGCATTAAATTCTGAAGAAATAGTGAAAGCAAAATCAGTTGCAGCACCTACTCTCATAGCGTTTAAAGTCTGGGGGGAGCAATTGTAATCAATATATCATATAAATAAGCATAAAAGCACAACTGTGAAAAGTGTTAACAGGGAAAGGTACATGGAAAGAGCTTAAATGCCACTTAGAATATGGCAGTCAGGAAAGTCTT